TTCGTAATTAAATTTTATATGCTAGCTGCATATGCATGTATGTAAGTATGTACTTGGTATATCAATTTGATTTGAGCATTACGTACGTCAATAATACACACACACATAAATATGATGATTTGTAAGATATAATTTATGTATTTTTTATTCGCTTATAAGATTTTGTTATACATAATTTTTCAATTAAATATTTAACATACGCTGGTTTTTAGACTGTTTATTTTTATTTTTTGTTTTGTTTAAAATACTTATTTGGTTTTTTGCTTTAGTAGTTCCACCTATGATGACTTTATTACTTCACTTTTTGTTTGTCTAATACATAGTACATATATGTACATTTATATGTATGTATGTATGTATGTAGTGTGTATATGTGTTTACCTAATTTTTTGACTTTATTTTTAATTTTAAAAGCGTTTACTTAAAAATAGCGACAAACTAGCAACAAAAATAAATACATAAATAGTTTTGCGGCTGCTAATTTAAATAATTTTTCATACATACACTTTATAATTGTATAAAAATATCTAAAATTAAATATGGAGCACATATTTGTATGTAGCTATTCATATACATATGTATGCATTTATATATCATTGTAACATTATCGTTGATTATTTTCGAATTAAAAATGTTCGCCCTTTAATAATTGTCTTCATAATTTTTCATTATAGGCTCTGCTAGAAAAGCGGGTTTAAATTAGATTCACATAAACATACTACATATGCAACCTAGACTAAGCGTACTCAGCTCTAATAATTAACTTTATCCTACAAACTTACGAGGTATGCTTTCAAACTAAATATCGTAGACATGCGTACATCCTTAGTATTTAAAAAATATCTTTGGGTATTTTCTTTTATTAGATAATTTTTAAGCGAAAAATTTTAGAACTAGTATTTGTAAAAAATAGTACTAAATTAACAAAAAAGAGGAAATATCTGAAGGGAAATGTTAATTTTAAGGGTTGCCAAAGTTAGTCACGCGCATTAATTGCTGTGTGAGTGAGAAAGTTTTCTATGCGTTTTAGAGCATATTTTTAAGAATATAAAACAAGTACATAAATACATATCGTCACCTGAAATGCAAAAATACGTAACAAACATCATCGTTGAAATGCAAAAAGTCATAACCAATAAAAAATTCAAAATTCACTTTTTGATTCCCCACATACTTTTATGAAGAATCACGACTTTTTCCATTTCATTTACGATGTTGTTACGTCTTTTTGCATTTCAGGTGACTATATGTATGCGTGTATGTACTCGATACACATGAGAGATTCACAGCGATGTGAATACCCCAACAGTCAAAGCGTTTTTATATCAATGTAAACTAGAATAAATGCAGTCGGAAATTAAAAAGGAAGGTCAAATACTCGATAAAAGTCGTATCACCTAAACACAACCTCCAACACCTGCAGTTGGGTGGTAACATGCTCTCACAACAGTAATAGAAAATATATTTGCGCCTAGAGTGAGGACTACATGTGTTGTTGCAGCTATCTTAATTGCATGACAAAAAAAGCTGTAAATTCCAGAACTTTGACACAAGTGAGAAGCAATATGCGTCAAGTTAAAGCCGAGTTATTGACTGAATTGTATGAAACAGTTGTCGAAAATTATATCAAAAGGTCCTGAAAATAGAGGACCGTTGAATGATATGATTTTTCACGGGCTTATGTATGTATGTATGCATGCATAATGGCATCTCCCAACTTTATTATGAAATAAAAATGCCATCGAAACTTAAATATTCAGCGTGATTTTTTCAACTTTAATTTCCATCGAGAATGTGGATTACCCTGTATATTTTAAATCAATTTATAGACGCCCATTGTCTTTGCATTGTGATGATTTAATTAGAAATAAGAGAAAATTGCTGGATTTTGTTTTTCATAGTTAAAAGGATTTATATACAAATGTGATTTTTTCTCTTACAAGTAAATTTAAACAAACATTCTATATATGTATGTACAATTTCACGTTCAAAGGATCTTGAATTTTTATGATGCAATCTATGATAAAATATTTTTTTGTTATTTTAATTTCGAATTTCCATAAAAAATTATGTAGTTAATATTAAAACACCTTTTACTTTCACATTTAAAAATTTCAAGAAAAGCCACCAAGAGCTCTTAGCCAATTATTTATTTTACTAAAATATACAAAAATACATAATAATATAAGAAAATATTGACATATTTTTGATAATAATAGCAATTACATGTTGTTGTTGAAATGGAAAATGACCTATCTGAGAATTTCCGTTTTTTATAGAAAAAGCGAAAAATGTAAATTAGGGAAAAGGAGGTCTTCTACGAGTCCTTAGCTTCAGTGCTCGATTCTTTAGCCTGTAGTTGAGTGGATAGAGATGCGTACTACCACTCCGTAGGGCCTGGATTCGATCCTTAGTAGGAACACCATTTAAAATTAGAAAATGTCTTTTTCTAACAGCGGTTGCATTGAAAAAGCTTCTCATAGAAGCAACCATTTGCCATCCGGAGGCGGCGTAACATCAAGACACACACCGAAGGTGAAGGAGAAGCTCGGCCAAATACTTAGCAAAAGTAGAAGCGCCAAATATTTATTTATTTTAAGACCAGGGTCTCACGTCTTTTGATTCAACTTCTCTTAGCAGGGAAAACTTGCACCAAATAATATTGGCACAGCGCACATTTACTTTGCTTCAGCGACATGCCTACTGCGATTATTTCCTTTATTTGACATCCGTTGTTTTGGAAACACAGACCCGCCTTCGAATGGAAGGGCTTTTGGAGATCATTCAAGCCCCGCCTGAACGCGTTTAGAAGCGCTTCCCATTTTGCCGACTAGGTTACAGCCTTAAAAGTGATGTTATACAAAATGTCAGTTATGCCCCTTTCTACATTTCTCTAAACGATATGTAAACATTCTAAGTCTTTCTTCTAAGAATAACTATCTTAAAAGCAAAGTTTGACATTCCAACAATTTGATTGCAAATTTTAGAAGAAAATAATGCCAGAAAGTATGTATCACAGACAAAATAAAGTTATTCTTCAGTGAAAATGAGAGATGATAAATGCGTGTGCTGGAATAATTTTTAGGCAAGGTCTTACCAAAGTGTTTCGCCTTTAAAATAAATTGTAGCGAAGTAGATACCAAACTTTATGCATAAAAGCAGACTTGCTTAGCGTAGGTTTGATAAATGTTTATTTTATTGCGAAATTACTTTAGAATATATGTATGTAGGTATGTCATGGAGAAGATCACTGTGACTCTAGCAGTTGATGGGCAATGTTGTATGCTCTTACAAGAACCGACGAAGTCATAACTTTTTTGGATTTCCCTAGGCAGTTTCAGTTTAGGCATCAACTTTTGTGAATCTTTGGCACTTGAATGTGATAGAATTAGAATGTAAGAAAAAAAAAGTGAATTTAACACAACGCACTAAATATGTGACGTACATATGTACATACATATGTATGAATGTATATAACGGGTGATTTTTTTGAGGTTAGGATTTTCATGCATTAGTATTTGACAGATCACGTGGGATTTCAGACATGGTGTCAAAGAGAAAGATGCTCAGTATGCTTTGACATTTC